AAACAAAACCAGTCTTCATAAAATTTGTGTCGTTATATTGGCTTGTACGAAAGAAACTCTTTGTTAGTTTCTTGGTAAGGAAATTCATACACCTCCTTCCAGTCAAACTTGGGCAAAACGTAAACGCCACAACTTATTCAATATGTCAACAATAAGTGGCACATTCGAGCATGCATAAGGCATGTTCATTATCCGATGGACTTTTTGTTAAAAATCTGATATAAAACCCCGGATTTTTATAACGCTTGATGTTTTTTTTTTGACAAAATTGGAGATAACAACCCAATAATTTTCAACTAATTGAAAGAGAGTACTCGTGCGTAACTGCGTGCGTGAACAGTCTTCTTCGAGTTAGAAATGTTCATTCTCTTATCATCCTTTTTGTATTTTAATACGCAACGCCGGAATGGGCATGATATCAATGAGCATATGCATGCTTTGGAAATCTATTATAGGTTATATTACCATAATCAAATATTTTAATTTTATAAAAACGAGACATACGTTTGTAGACTTGTACTCGTCCGTCTATACATTATAGTATTAACGACCCCTATATATGTAATATTATCATTTGTACTTTTCTCACGAAATCATTGTATCATGAGCCATGCAGTTTTATGACTTGCAGGGGTTAGCTAGAGACTCTTTTCTCTGTTCCAAAAGTTATAAGAGTTTATTTGATAAATAAGGAATTATGGAGACATGGACCATGCGTACTAAAGCCATTAGCCGTGAACAACTTAATGAACACATAATTTGATCATGACTCATGACAAACGTCACAAATCAACTAATATGATATAGGAATTTGACGGTGGAGTTGTATATAATTTAACGGATGTAGTTTTGTTTGGTCGAAATTGAAGGTTTTATCTTTGATGTAGATGGTGTATGGTTTAATTAATATTAATTCCCTTGTCAGGACAATCATAAAACATTGTTTACAAGGCTACATATCAACTTCCAAACTTTTTAACAATCAAAGTTATAAAACAAAACCAAAGTCACAAAGTCATTTATAATTTGCTCTATCATCTATTATCAAGTTTATTTTAACAACTCACAAAAAATGGTACCAAGTTTAAAAGAAAATAGAATATGAAGTTACTTACATCGTCTCTCGCGGATTGTTAAGAAGCAATCACTTTATTTTGTTTATATAAATGCAAAATTATCAGTAGAATCTTCTTAGAGTCTGTTTATATCGATGATAAAAAAAATGAAGTTACGTAAATCTGAAATTTAGTTCATAAATTGCAGGATGCCGAATATAACAAGTGGTGGATGCAAAGTATTAAGGATGGAGGCATGTACGTGTCTCATTAACAGGGCGTCTCTAGCATGTGCAAGAAGCGTAGTTGCACAAGATGCAGAAATTGCAATTTTTAGTAAGAATTTAGATTTTTTTTTAAAAAAAAAATAGAGCTATTTTACAAAATTATTTTATTTGTTGTAATAAAATCTAATTTAAGGTACATTAATACATTGAATCGCACCAGCTCATATATATAGTTTAACTAGTTCTCTCTTATACTATTTGACTGAAGTCATCTTTGAAGTCACATGGTTTGATTATTCACTTAAATGAAGTGAGATAATAAGACAGAACTGGATGCTTTCAACCTTTTTCAATTAATTATCTTGCTTTGAGCCGATATTACAGTTTTGCAGTTTCGTGTTTTTTTCAACTGTTTCTTTATGAAAGAAACTATTATAAAAGCAAGAAATATATATTAATTCATATGGTAAAAGATATTTAACTGAAATTGTAAAAAAGGGAAAACAATACATGCAGCCCATGTCGTAGACTCGCACGAGTTTCTGATCAAGTATGAGACGACTAACCTGTTAGAAATAGTCACATCCAAAAACATACTTAGAGCAACCCCGAATCCAAAAATGTCACAAGAAAGACACTAAACCATTATCTGTTTTTTAGACCATTATGTTCATTTGTATTAAATATATACATACATATATAAATTTATATATCATAAAATGGTGAAAAATCTTCTTTCAATACAAATCCCTTTTTCGGAGATTCGAATTCTTTATTGTTGGATTGTCATATTCGCATTTTAATATAGTCCCAGAACATGCATGTACGTACTATATGTAATATATTCTTCAATGAATGAATGATCTATGCCTTCTCTCAAATAAAAATTGATACATTTCTAAAACGTATAGTATTTGACACAAGTAGTTAACTATTCGTTTATTTGATAGTTAAACTTATATTTATAAAAAAAAAAAATCACCAATATTTTGAAAACAAAAAATCTAAAAGGCAAATATGATTTGTCCCGTACGTTCTTTTTACGGTAACTCCTTTACGGAGTCGAAGCACTTTCGTACGTGGCGAAGCGCTTGCAACCCAATAATCTTTCGGAATCAGAAGGTATATTCCTTGGAATGTACCATTTTGGTTTTTTAATTTATGGAGTATATTATCCAATTAAAGGTCTGTGTAGACACTAAACGTTATAAATTTCTGTCTCTTGCTAGTTATTAACTTATTATCAGTTTTTTTTTATAAATATTTAAAATGCAATTTTCGGTTGTGAGTGTTATGCAGAAGACAATAATGTGGCGTGGATTTTAATTATAGATTGTCGTGATGTGGTTCTTTTCTGTTGCTTACTTCACATTGTTTCGTCTTTATTAGGTTGATAGGCATATACTCTAACGGTTGGGATGATATTTTCAGCATCATCATAAGTTATGCAGCTAAGAAATCACTCAACTTATAATTTACAACTAATCAACTGAAGTGTGATTATAATTCGGTACTAATGTATCAAAAATAACTTAAAGTCAGAAACATATATACATGTTGTCGGGTTTTAACTCTAGAATAACATTACAATCATTCAAACACAAAACTATTATACATCATGTGTAGATTGTTTTGTTCCTCGTTAGTTTGGATCAAATCTGATGAAGATTCCATGAAAACTTAATACATTATATAAAGTGGTGTGTATGACTGCCACATGACTCAGAGTCAGTGATTGTTCTTCCCACCACTTTGCATAGGAAGCTCTTGTCCACTGGAATCTCACTTTTTCTCTCTTTCTTTCGTTTTGGAATATCTCTCCTCGGCTAGCTCCGCATATTATATTGCAATGATTGATTATTTTCACTGAATACTATATCATTAATTTCAATCATAGTAAATATTCTAATACATACAGAAAACTAGAGTCCTAAAACACCAAATTTAAAGCATAAAAAAAACTAGAGTCCTAAATTTCATATTCCATAGTATTGGTAAGTCGTAAAAGATACATTGAACCCATATAAACTGAAGAAACCGCAAACTACTTGAACCACTGTAAAGTACATCAATGATCAAACCCATATTAACTCGTAATCTTCATAGTTTAACATTGTAAAATGATTTCATATATCTAAATATAACTAGTCGTTAGTGCGTCAACCCGTGTTCAAATATGATTAAGCGAGTTAATTTGTTGCATGAAATCGGAACCTCAGACTAGTTCATAAAGTTAACCATGTAAGTTGATTGAAACCATTCTATAAGTAGTCAACATTTTAGTTTATGATCTCATTCGACCAGGTATAAAAAAGACCGATCTCACTACTTAAAATACAATTAAGATAGACCGTTACAAATTCGATGACTATTATATAGTTTTCCCCTATATTGTTTTCAAGCCCAACTTGAGTAGTATAAAACTATATTTCTTCACATTTTTGAGTCGGTTTTGTTTGAACGTGTTCCCTCAGGACCATATTTTTCTTTTGATGCCTTTTATTTACCAAGTCAAGATTTGAATACTGATTACAGTTCTGTAAAAATAATTAATTATTTGTAAGTTTTCTATTTTGTCAACTATGCAAATACGTGGTTTAATGGTCAACTAGATTTTGATCCGCGCAACTGTGCGGGTGTTTGTTTTCATTTATAATTAATTATATAAACATTTTGTTTTCACTTGTAAATTGGTATATATTATAGTAATCACATATTTACGATATGTATAGTAAATATTTTTCAAACATAATAATATTATATAATACGTGTTTTAATCAAATAGATTGTTTCAAATTTTCTATATTATACGTGTTTTTCAAACATGTGTTTGTTTCTTCGTCTATATTTTATTGTTTGTTAGATTAGTATTTCATTTTTGCAAAGATAATATAAACTTCTAAAAAATTTTTGCTAAAAACTAAACTTATAGCTTCATAAATTATTATTATAAATAATTTTATTAAAAATATTTTTTTAAAAAATTTCTTTTTTAAAATCAATATAATTTAAAAAATTTACATCGTCATAAATTTATCTAGTATATATAGCGTGTAAATTTTTTTAGGGTATATAAATATTTCATATTACGAATCTGTGATTTTTGTTAATATATTGTGGATGCATTTAACTATTATTGACATATTTCCTTATAAATAATAGAAGTTTCTTAAACTTATACTTATTGACATATTTTGTGTGACTAAGTTGGAAAGTGTGGGTAATTTACCAAAACCAAATTGTTAAGTATATCTTTGTTATTATAGATATGATTTTTCATAAGATATAATAATGATAAGATTATTAGAGAGTTTATGTAATATGACTTTCTAGTAATAGTCAATTTTCAAAAAAATCACACATGAAGTCAAGTACTTCTGTTTTAATATATAAGATGATCTAAAAAATTTTACATTAAGGTTTGGAGTTCGAAATCCAAACAGCAAAGAGTACTATCATAATTAGATCTCATATTCATCTATGTAATGTTTCTCATAATTTGTAATAGCATAATTAATCAGACAAAAACAAATAACTATGCAAATAAGATTCTCTTTTTTTTTCTTTTTTTTTTGCAAAGGCAAAAGAAATAAAAATCAATTAATAATAAATAAATAAATCAAAAGAGTCTTTCGTCAATCTCCTTCCGTTCTTTTTAACAGTCACAATAGGTAGGCGTGTCTATATAAACTCTTAAGGTCGCCGCTACGTAACGACCATCTTCTCCTATTATTACTCTCTCACCAAAGCTTAAACAAAACAAAAAAAAAAAACAGTTTTAGATTATTTATTCTGAGATGAAGCTAGTTGAGAATACGACTACTGATAAGTTTACAACAACGGAGGAGAAAGGAGAAGATGTCTGCCGCACGATCGAGGTTGTTGAGAGAAACATGTTTCAGTCTCAGTTCGATGAGGTTGTAACAGGAGAGGAGCTTAACCTAATACCGCCGCTAAACTTCTCTATGGTTGATAACGGTATATTCCGTTCTGGATTCCCTGATCCCGCTAACTTCTCCTTCCTCCAGACTCTTGGACTCCGCTCAATCATGTAAAGAATTCTTCTACATTTGACAATTTTGTGCATCTCATCATCCAAATTTGCTGATTTTTTTTTTTTTTTTTGAAGATATCTGTGTCCGGAGCCGTACCCGGAGAGTAACATACAGTTCCTTAAATCCAATGGAATTACTCTTTACCAGTTTGGCATTGAAGGCAATAAGGTTAGCATCCTTGTCTCTCTGTCTTTTTCTTCATAAGTCTTGTCTTAATTGCTAAACCTCTTTGTCCTAATTTGCAAAACCTCTGGCCGGTCTTAATAAAATTTGTGGAGCTTGAAACAATTAATTAAATAATTCTTAATCAATTTGAGCTTAAATTATCTATTATATAGTATTAACTAACCACTAAATTTTTTGAGAGTTGAATAAGGAGTGGCTCTGCCTCTTTGCCTTGGGGTTAAATGGCTTAATACATATCAAACCATTAAAAAATTTGAGGGCTTGAGGCAAATGTTTCTTTGTCTCTGGCACTGTAATTCTAATTCAGTTGGATTTTTTCCGGGGATGTTTAGACCTAAGGGAACTCTCTGTTTTGAAAATGGTATTTTTCTAAGAATTTGCAGTGTGTCACTGAATTAGACAACGAGATTTGCTCACATTTATGGAGTATTTATTATTACCTCAACTTAATACTGCAAATCTATGGAATATGTTAGGGTTCTTGAATTCAGGGGGTTTAACTGTTTACCTAGTTGTTCTAAAAATAGTGTCTCATCTTAGTCTTGAATTTGATCCTTCATGTCGACTTTGTTCCAAGCCATGATATTTTTTTAATTGAGTTACCAGAAAGAGCACACATCTTTCTTTATTGTTTGCCTCTTTGGCTCTCTCCGTCTCTCTTGACATTCCACTGCTTTGGTCCCACTCTCTCTATTCTGCCCCTTCACCAACTTGTGGCCCTTGTAGTGTCTGTGTTTATTTAAAATTGGATAATGGGATACCGTCGAAATATTAAATTGCTGAACTGCTTAACTGTTGTCAACGATCCACTACTCCAAGGCTTACTTTCTGTGCGTTCGGTTGGTATTGTTTTCTTGGTTCTTGTTAATTGCGTATGCACTTTTTTTAATACATATATCATATCTTATGAAATCATACCTAAGCAAAACTTTTTTTTTTGAGGGTGGAAACGTAGTAGAACACCTCAAACTATTTTTTAATTGTAAAACTTGCAGAAAGCATGCTAATTGTGGAAGTATACACACACATATTAGGTCCGTTTAAATGTTTTAAGTCGGTTAGTGTTGTTTAATAATACCTACTCTTTATGATGTTTTAGTGGCTCATGTTGGGGCAAACATTAGTGAGTGGTTGAACTTTTATATCCTTATGAGTCATGCAGAATGTTACTTTGCTGAAGAGATTGGCTTGGACGTATTTTTTGGTTTATAGAGAATCTTGATAAACCAAAATAGGGGCTAAGATTAAATATTCCGTCCAGCTAACAGTTCTGTTCCTAGGATACAGTCATATTTCTTCTAATGAGATTCTTTATGTGGGGAGTCGTTTAGATACTTACTAGGCTGTTAATTCCCTTTATGCTTTTCATACTGAAAAGAAAACTAAAGAGCTCTTTCTCGGTGGGCTAATTGTATTTTGGGATTTATTCCACATTCACATCGCTGAATCTCATTGACTTTAGTTTTCAATTTTTATCGACTCAGATTCGTTAAGCTTTATCGTTGATATTCTTTGCTTTGCTAGGCTTTTTTCCTTCTCATAGATTCGCATTTACATGGACCTCTGCGTTGTTTATTCCGTGTGGTTGTTGTGTATGTATGTGGAATTAACTTTAAAATATATATAAAAAGAGAAGAATCTCTCTTTCAGTACGCAACCAGTAAAAAGGTATCACATTTGACATGTTTTTAGAACGTGTATGCATTGCATTGTCCTGTTTAAGAACCTTTCCCATAGTTGTCGTCTCTCTCAAGTGTCACCGTTGCTTGTGTATGAATGAACCTTGCTCAGTAGATTTGCCTTTTCTCATCCTTATCTGCTCACTTTAGTAGTGTGATGCTATAAAAAACTTTATAAAATCTAAGAAAGGCATCCTTTTCTTATTTTTTTCCAGGAACCATTTGTGATTATTCCAGACCAAAAAATCCGCAAGGCACTCAAAGTCCTTCTAGGTACGTATGAATAGTAGAAGCCCTTATAAGAAAAACTGCACATTGATATGCTTTCTAGTTTTAACTCGTTTTCTTATCAATATCTCCGCAGATGAGAAAAACCACCCGGTTCTGATTCATTGTAAGCGAGGCAAGGTAAGCTATCTCTCAAACACTCTTTCTTTATCTGCCATGTGACCGTGTCCACCATTGTTAATGTATTGATTTTTTGGAATGTGCAGCATCGGACTGGTTGTCTTGTGGGGTGCTTAAGGAAACTTCAGAAATGGTGTTTGACATCGATATTTGATGAGTACCAGCGATTTGCAGCAGCTAAAGCTAGAGTTTCAGATCAAAGATTCATGGAGATATTCGACGTCTCCAGCTTCAATCACGTTCCTATGACTTTCTCTTGTTCCAGCAGGTAAACAGAGAAACCTAAGATCTTCTCTCAACTCAAAGAAGAAGAAAAAGCCAACAATAAAATGAAGAGATTATTCTAAGGGAAAAAAGTTAGTTTAACCTTAATTTATCTCTTTATTACTAGAATGACTCTAATTTTATTTTAATTACTGGTTTAAATTTTGTACCTATTTTAACCCTGAGTCATTTGTTATCAAAAATTAAAATTACGAAAATGCCATTCTCACAGATTTATTTTTTCAAAATTTTATATAGCCACAAACTTATTTTTATTTTTCNAGGGAAAAAAGTTAGTTTAACCTTAATTTATCTCTTTATTACTAGAATGACTCTAATTTTATTTTAATTACTGGTTTAAATTTTGTACCTATTTTAACCCTGAGTCATTTGTTATCAAAAATTAAAATTACGAAAATGCCATTCTCACAGATTTATTTTTTCAAAATTTTATATAGCCACAAACTTATTTTTATTTTTCTTTGGCGACAGATTTATCATAAATCTATAGATTTAATTAGATTTCTACAGATTTATTTTGATATATCTGTCATATTTGGTCACAGATTTATTAAATATTCACAAACTTAATTAGATTTAGTTTCTTTGGCCACAAATTTATTTATTATTGACAGATTTATATAGGATTCGATAGATTTATTTTTCCTTTGGCCACTGATTTTTTTTTGTTTTAACAGATTTATTTGAGTTTCAACTGACTTATTATTCTTTGGCCACAAATTTACTTGATTTTGACAGATTTAATATAAATTTGATAGATTTGTTTATTTTTGACGATAGACTTGACTACAGTTTGATAGATTTTTGTTTTACTTTGCCGACAGATTAATAATTCTTTAGCCACAGATTAATTAAATTTTACATAACCAAACATCGTTTATTGAAAACTGAATCTAACCATTAAATTATGGTTTTCTTAAATACCGATATTTCAATTGAATTAAACCAAAATTTAAATAACCAACAAATTAAATTAAATAAACCAAAATAGATTAAGTAAACCAAACCATAACACAACTTAACTTAAACCAAGAAAAAAACCCTAATATACAAAAAAACACATCACGTCTTCTTCTTCTACGAGACAAGTTAAGTTTCCTGTGTGTGTGTCATTGACTTTTTTTCACTTATGGCTCAAGTAAAAATTGTTTGCGGTAAATGGATTCCTGGAAAACCCAAATGGTTATTTGGTGTTGATAAAGTAAAGAGAAGCAAGATAATAGCAGTGACGGACAAAACAAGTTACAAGGATTTTGTTCATATGGTGATCGGAGCGTACGATGTTGATACGCGGATTTACGACATTGAGTTGAGCTACATGTATCCAAAGAAGGTTTTACTAACATTACCGGAAAACACACCGCCTGTAGATATTGAAAATCAGAGGCAATTTGATGGATTTTTGGAACAAGGTAAAACAGAAGCAATGCAAATTTGTCTTGAACTTAAGGAAAAAGTTTTGGATGAAGACACAGACGACGAAGGCTCCATATTTGATTATTGTGATGATTTAGACGGCGCATCTTCAGGTGATGAAGACTTTGCACTGAAAGGGATTCATGTTGAAGAAGAAGAAGAAGAAGAAGAAAAAGAAGAAAAAGAAGAAGTGAAGAGTGTATCAACGTCCGCGAGAGTTCCAGTTAAAAAGGATAATCATCATGTTAAGCTAGAATTAGATGCACTTAATTTGGCTGTTGGACAACGATATGACACGAAAGATGCCCTTGAGACAAGGTTAAAGATCTTGTCAGTCCTTCATCAATTTGATTTCAGAGTAGATAAATCAGCGAGAGATATATTTGTTGTTAAGTGTTGGATAAAAGGATGTACATGGAGAGTAAGAGCTACCCCAGTTGGAGAATCGACTCAGTTTACCATTCGGACACACATTTCAGAACATTCATGTTCTGTTACAGAACGTTCTGCCAGTGCCCGACAAGCAACTCCTGAAATCCTTGCAATACTATACATAGATTCTATTGGAAGTGTTGATTCAAAAGTTCTCCCAAAGCACGTTGGGGAAGCCTTAAACTTGAGATTCGGTGTTAAGGTGCGTCATCTGAAACGGCATGTTTATTATTAATTTTTTTTTGGTTATAACAATATATAATGTATTTAATATTTTACTTTAAATTTTTCTTTAACCAGATGGACTATTGGAAGTCTCATCGAACGCTTTTATGTGCAAGAAATATTGTTAGAGGTTCTGCAGAGAGCGGATACTCAGAGTTGCCCAAATATCTATATCATATAAAAAGAGCAAATCCTGGAACTTACACTTGTTTGGAAGTTGATGAAGTTGACAGATTCAAGTATTTGTTCCTTGCATTTGGTGCTAGTATCACTGGATTTCCTTACATGAGAAAGGTAATTGTCGTGGATGGTACATACCTTCAGGGAAAATATAAAGGAACACTACTAACCGCAACAGCACAAGATGGGAATTTTCAGATATTTCCTATTGCTTTTGCGGTTGTTGATACTGAAAATGATGACTCTTGGGAATGGTTCTTTCAACAACTAAGAAATATAATTCCCGATGATGAAGAACTTGCACTTATTTCTGATAGGCATAAGGCTATTGGTAATGCTATTGGAAAAGTGTATCCTATGTCTAGTCGGGGAATTTGCACTTACCATCTTTACAAAAACATATTGCTACGCTTCAGAGGAGGTGATGCATTTAGATTGTTTAAAAGAGCTGCAAGTGCTTACACATTGGCTGATTTTAATACAACATTTGAGGAGATCCAAGCGATGAATCCAGGATTACACAAATATTTGGAAACAGCTGATATACAAAAGTGGGCTCGTGTGCATTTTCCTGGGGATAGATACAATTTATTGACGACAAACATTGCTGAGTCCATCAACAAAGTCATCTCAAGCTCGAGAACTTTACCCATCGTAAAACTTTTGGATGCGCTACGATTAATGATGACAAGATGGTTTGCAAGTAGGAGGACAACTTCTGGAACAATGAAGACAACCTTGACTCGTGGAGTGGAGAAACTTTTGGAGGTAAAATAACACTTTTTCTTTCTCTTTTTGTTAGTTACCTGCTTTTTATAGTTATTTTGTAACACTATTTTTTTTTAGAAACGTGTACCACAGGCCAAGATGCTTACAGTTCAAACGATTGATTTACATCATTCACAAGTTACAACTGGTTCTTCTCTACATATCGTTGATTTAATCGGAAGAAAATGTACTTGTCGTCGGTTTGATAAGGAGAAGTTACCATGTGTTCATGCAATCGCGGCAGCAGAAGCACGTAAGCAATGCAGCATATCTCTTTGTCATCCCTATTATCATAGCTCATACTTGTGGAATGCTTATTCCACTTCTATAATGCCAAGAGATGTTGCTTCACCGGTTCCAGAAAATATCACAACAAAGATTTGCTTGCCTCCGGTAGTACACACACAACCTGGAAGACCCAAAAAATCAAGGATGAAATCAGCTTTGGAGAAAGCTACTGAAAAAAAACGACCTAGAAAACAACATTTATGTTCAAGGTGTCATGAATCTGGACATAACTGTAAGACATGCAAGGTTTAAGTTTAGCTTCTGGTTAGTACTTTTTTTGCTTTCTGAATTATTAGTAAGATTGGTTCTGGTTCTTCTGGTTATGAACAACTAGAATTACTTTGTTTCTCTTATGGCTCTTCTTCTCAGATTTGTCTTTCTGATTTTTTTATACTTTGGGAGTTAAACTTCTAAAACAGGAGCATGTCTTGTTCCCGAGCATGTCTTATAACCGTATTACACTTTTTGACAGCTGATCACAAGAGCAAGTACATGAAAATTCTAAAACAGAATTGAAGGGCTTATGAAAAAATATTGACTGAAAATTGTAGCTAAAATTGATACTAAACGTTGCAATTAACACAATAAGACACGTTCACTAATAAATTCAAGTTGCGCCAAGAAAACTAAATGTTCACTTAGAGAATCTAAAACTGAACATACTACTTTGATGAATAAGGAGTGATTTGAGGTTCTCCAACAGCGTCGTAAATCTCAGCAGCTAGCTTCCGTCGAAGATCCTGAATGGTTTCATCACGTAGACCTTCAAATGTGCACCCAATTGCAAGACACTCAATGTATTTTATGGTATAGACACCACAGTCTCCTGGGGGGTCATTCTGTGGAACCTTTTTCAGTCTACGTACACTGAATTTTTTTTCACTTTTCTTCCGAATATTGGCAGGTACTAAAGCACTCAGGATGGATGGAATCATTTTTGCAAACGGACGGCAGGAGTTCTGGATTTCTCTATCATCTAGTAAGGTCAGAATGCTGTCATAAACGGTAATGGCCTCCTTCCCCAAGTCGATGTCCAATGCAACCCAATGATTACCATTTACAAAATGACATGCATATAGATGATCAATATCATGAAGCCACTTCTTGTTCGTGACTCGGTCAGATGGATACGTACCGTTGAAGATACCCTTATATGTATCTGTAGGTTTCCAAGTCTTCGGATTAAACTCTTTGAAATCACTGACAATTTTGGTGACAACCCACTGATCCAAAAAAGTAATCCGCTGAGAATGGTATGGTGAAGGATCACAAATTGATCTCTTATAGAACATATGCATTGCAGACCACATATGCTGAAAGAATTTTTTTTAAAAAAAACAACTTGTTAGAACATATGTATAACACGAAGACAATTTAAGACACAAACAGTTAAGAACAAATGTATACCATGTTAGTCAACCAGCCATAATTATATGTACGCCACTGCTTTCTTGGAGTTATTATCACCTTATAGAATTCTGTACTATTAGTACAGGTTTTGTCTGATTTTTGCCTACAAGAAAATAATATATAGATTAAAACAAGTATAGCAAAATGATATTATTAAACTCAAGTAAAGAACAAGAAGTCATACTCATCATCCAGTAGAAAATGCAGTAAATTCCTCATTTTATCATCGTCGACATCAGCAAACGGATCATATGCTGAGACAGATGGTGTTACACCTGTGATGATGCGCCTCACGGTGGAGTTTCCTATGAAAGGAAATAGCTGAGATGATGCTAGCTTAGTTTGGCGCTTGTGCGGAGGTGAGGAAGGTGTAGGAGTAGGCTTATTCAGCTTTCTAGCCATGGCTACAAAGACATCTAAACGGTCACTGAGATCTCTAGCCTTGTCACGTTGCACTGGATCAGACCATGTTTCATCCCCTGAGGCGTTATCAAGTAAATGTGGCACTTGTATTTTGGTTTTCAAAACCTTCTTATCGAAACCTTTTTTTTTGTCAAGTCCCATATCTTCACATTTTTTGCTTGCCTTCCTTGCTTTCTTGACAACACGTTGAGAAGGTAAACCATCTTGTGATGTGGAATTCATCTCCACCATCCAAGACTTCAAAAGAAAAACATATCATCGCATTACATATACATTTAAAAAAATATATAGTTATAATCTAATAGGAAAGAAACATCTAAGAGTACAATAATAATCATACCATTTCTTTGCTATTTATTTCAGCATTTTCATTAACGTCAATGTTGGAATTTGCATCTTCTTTTCTCTCATCAGCTGCATCTTTTTCTTTCATCTTTTGAAAGTCCTTCTCCATTTTTGCCAACCTCTCATTCATAGGAGCGAGAAGAGCACCAACCTTTGATTCGATCGATGTATCTATGTTATCCAGTTTTCCTATCACTGTCTTCATCAGAGTGTAAAGCTGGTTCACAGGAATTTTTTCCTTCTACAATTAATCAAACAAATTATTATAATAAAGCATATTAGACACTTAGTTAAAAAAAGTAGAAAAATAACTTACACTTGGACTACTAGTATCTTCCTCAATCTGGACACTTTTTGTATCATTAGCTTTCTTCTTTTTATAACTCTCACCATCAGTCTCGGGGACAGATTTAGGACGCTTCATTCTTGTAGTAGCTGGAGATTCTTCTGTGACATCCCAAAATCCACGATTTATACAATCATTACGTATATCCAGAACCAAGTTTGTCACATCGCCATCATCAACTTCATCATCCCACTTCGGCATATACTCTCCATTTGGCAGTGTAGTAAAATGTTTCACACGCACCTGTAAAATAATTTTATTCATTTACTATGAAATAAACAAAAACGATCACTGAATAACACAATTGTAAAGAAAATAAACCTTATTTTCATGATGCTCTTTCTCCTGTCTAAAAAAATCCTCAAACTTGAATCGCTTACGGGATCCACTCCATGACAGAAGAGGCACTTCTGCACCACCAATTCTATTCCCGTACAGCTCTCCTAAGCCTGTAACTGACTCATATGCCCATATCTGTAAGATGAAAATGAACCCTGCCATTGTATAAGATTCCTTTGTGCTATAATCAGCACACTTAACAGAGTATATCAAACTCTGACACGCTACGCGGCCCCATGGGTATCTCTGGAAAGCTTCATAATCAAGGACTCTCTTCGCACACTCCAACGGAATATGACGTGAGGGAGCAATTCCATAAACACCAAGATGAAGAACACATAACAATCCAACCATTGTCCTCTTCTCGAGACTCCAATATTTGCATCTTTCCAATACTGACTGAAGCTGAGCCAAGTTAGGACCAACAACAGTAGAAATCCCCATTTCTTTCCAAAACTCTGTATGATCAACATCACAAATCTCCCCTTTGTTGAATGGTTCACAATTCATTCCTGTTATCTCACCAAATTCAACCAAAGAGAGACGAATGGGCTGCGAATCAATCAACGACCATATCTCATAATTTTTCTTCACTTGAATCTGATTCGTTAATAGGTAATGGACAAGCTTTGCACACCATGTGAATTTGAGCTCGTAAAACATTGGAAATACACCAACTGCAGACTTCTTTACAGCATCCCACGCATCAAACCCCACACCTTCTCTTACCATTTGAAAATTTGACAAATAACTATAATAGCTCATACTCCTTTGTTGACTAGGAGCTTTTCCTTTCTTGTAGAGTAGACAGGGATAGTTTTTCTTACTGCTTGAAGACTCCATATCTAACAATGATAAACAAAAAAAAAAAGTTAGTTGTAATCAAACTATTCATATTTTAAAAAGTCCAAGCTACGATACAATTGAGATGTGCTTGTCACACTCATTCTCTTACAAGAACCCACCAAGAACCTATCCAAAAAATCAAATCACGTAGTAACAAAGCATAAAGCTTCTTTTCACTGAATCATTCACGTTTCACATCTAAGAAAATAAATTAACATGTACCTATCATTGAACAATGCATAATCAAGTATTCTGATCAATAACACTTAACACCAAATCAAAAGCTATCCAAACTCCATGGAAATCTCAGTGTTCCAGAAAACAAAATTTATAAACTGGGGGAGGAAATAACGATGAGAGAGAGAGAGAGAGAGAGAGAGAGAGAGAGTTTCTGCTACAGACCTAATTGACGGCTGAAGCTATGGTGGTTCTTGTCGTCGGAGTGTCTGGAAGCGGAGATAACAAGAGCCCTCCCACCGGCGAAGTCGACGCTAAGAAGATTAAACTCCCATCAATTTTGAAACCAACATCTCCTTCGACAAAACCTTTTTCTTTTTCAGAATGTTTTTTTGACTTTGTTTCTGTCGACGGCGAGGGAGGATGTAGGTTAAATGATTTTTCCTTTTTTTTGTTTTTTATCTGCTAAAGAATTAAGTAAATAGGGGTTAATTGTCTTTTTGTACCTATATTAGATTATTTTGATTACACAGAGTTAAACTAGTAATTAAGTAAAAGATTAGAGTTAATCTGAGTAATTTTCACTTATNTTTTGACTTTGTTTCTGTCGACGGCGAGGGAGGATGTAGGTTAAATGATTTTTCCTTTTTTTTGTTTTTTATCTGCTAAAGAATTAAGTAAATAGGGGTTAATTGTCTTTTTGTACCTATATTAGATTATTTTGATTACACAGAGTTAAACTAGTAATTAAGTAAAAGATTAGAGTTAATCTGAGTAATTTTCACTTATTCTAATCACATAAGTCTTCCAGAGGAATTATTCTTCTGTTTCTTTCCCTTTCTCTGGAATCAATAATTATATTTCAAGAAAATATATTTCTGATTATGATTTTGTCCTTTTTTTTCTCTTCTGCTCATTGTAACCCCATTTAGGTAGGTAAAAATACGTATACTAATACGTATATATGTATACGGATAAAATATATAGGAGTTTGTTTAGAATATAGCTTTTTCTTGGGTAATCAATTATTGTAGTATTGTAACAATTCTCATCATTTATAATGAATTAATATAAAATAATTAACTCTACATGCAACAAATATAAATGTCCATTAATATATAGACATACAACAGCATATGTACTATGCATATAAATGTCCATTAATATAAAATTTATTCGAATATAAAGAACTTATATGAAGACTATATATTATAATGCCATTCATTTAGGCAGTGGCCAATGGTCCAACATTGTTGACCATTGTTGTCTCCATAGCTTTCATGGCTTCAAACCTAGGTTCTTTGGCCTGAAACTTGACAGCAGAGTAAAGTTTCATGTAATCCTCGAACACAAATTTTGGATAGTTATCATTCTTCTCCGATTCTTTTCCGATCAACTTCGGCGCCGGGAAAATAACAGAGTCACTTCCAGGATTGTAGAATGATGCAATGGACATTCTTCCTTCTCCATCCGTCTGAGCTATCACTCTATGCTCCACGCTCTTGTACTTCCCATTGGTTATCACCTGGTTTAATATTGGTTAACACGAAGTTTTTTTTTACCGTTGCAAAACCATATGAAAATATTCGGTTTAGTACGGTTTAGTTTAATACCTCAAGTTGATCACCGAGATTAACGACTATAGAATGCTTAACCGGAGGAACATCGACCCACTCGCCGTCCTTAAGGAGCTGAAGTCCACTGACTTTATCGTCCTGGAAGAGGAGGATGATGCCGCCTGCGTCGGTATGTGCTCGGAGGCCCTTGATTAAATCCGGTTTAGGACAAGGTGGATAGTTGCTCACTTTGGTTCCAAAAGTTGGGCTTTTCGACCCGTAAAACACCTTTTTCAGATAACCCTTCTCTAATCCGAGATTCTCACAAAGCAGATCCAATAGCTCCTCGGACAACTTCTCTATCTTTCCGGCAAACGCTTTCATCAGTGTCCTGTAAGAAAAAGAAAACAAACAATACGACGTCGGTTTACTCATTACTTGTACCACAAGAAGAAAACCGGTTCTGTATTTATTGAATAAGATTCAAGAATAATTCAATGTTGCTAAAACAAATACTCTCTCCGTTTCAATTTAATTATCATTCTAGGTTTTGTATTTCTTGAATAAAATGCAAGAATAATTCAATGTTGCCAAAACAAATACTCTTCCGTTTCAATTTAATTATCATTATAGATTTTTACACACAGATTAAAAAAATAACTATTTTCCATATTTTCAGAATAAAAACACAATTACCTATACACATAACCACTTTTCAACCAATGAAAAAATAGAATGACATTTAAATTTAATAAATTTTACATTGAGATTATAAAACAACACTTATTTTGAAACAAAAATTTTACTCTAGAATGACATATAATTTGAAATGAAGTGCAGAATTTATAAAATCTGAACTTTTAATTAACTTTTCTGTTCATATAATATTTTAATAAACCAGTTTAATCGAGTCATGTTGAGTTGTTCAATCAAACCAAATTGTTGATAACAAACCGGTTAATCCGTGATCCTGTAACCGGATAAACAAAAGTTCTGGACCGGTTTGGAAACTAAAAAACGTTACCTGTAATCGTCGTCCAGATCAGGGACATGTGAGATATTGGAGAGGGGAAGGTGTTTAAGGTAGAAAGTCGACTCCCAGTCAACATCATTGACTTCAGACCGAACAGAGTCGAGTCCTCTGTTCTTAATGGACTCCTTGAATCTGTCTTCCATGCACTTCTTGTAGTGTTCCTTGGTCATTTTCTCCACTCTATCAAGCAGCTCGTGTGGAATCCCATGGTTCACACACTGTAAATAACCAACAGATGATTAGAAATTATTTTAACTCCATTATTAGAAATGAAACATTCTGAAATATACCTCAAAGAATCCCCAGTTTTCACAAGCGTCTTTGATCTTCTCCATTGTTAGTCCCCTCTCTTCTCCATTAAGCTTCTCGAGATTAATGATCGGGAAACTGTTCATCTCTATTCTTTCTCTAACTTTTTTAGTTACTATTTTTGGGGTTTGCCTAACTTTATGTTGAAGTTTCTGAAGTGTGATTTTAATCTGATGACTAGAGCATTGGTTTTATAGAGATAAAGGAGGAGGAGCTTTGAGTTACCTCCACGAGTTAACATGCTACAGTCATTATTTGGTTTTTTGGACCCACTCCATTTGAAATTATATTATATTACATTCCCTATAAAGTTTCACTAAAAGCATGTTAATCAATAAAAGCAAAGATTATTTTGTGCAAGGTGTGGCTGCAGTCAACATAGTATGTGAGTACAAACCCATAATACTAGTGTTCCTTAGCAAAAAAAAAAAAAAAAGCTCTAATACTAGTGCAGCATATTTTACCAAAAGCATATTTTATTCTCGAAACTGTATGATATATTCACAAATTTCTTTCACAGAGATATTATGATTTTCTTTATGGAGTGTTGGGAGCGTTCATCACTGTGCGAGTCCTCCCCTGACACGAATCATGGTTTGACCCGTCTTTCTATCTTTTTGACTTTTATTGAAGATTAATCTTCTTTTAGTTATATAACGACTTTGTTTAAACATTTTCTTGTTTAAGTGACACTATTCACTTAAAAAAGGTGACACTATTCAAGTTACACACAAATCCGTATCAAAGAATAAATTCAGAGCGTCTAAACGTTTTCTGTTACATTTTTTCTAACCTACATCGGTTTAGCTTTCACTATTAATTAAAATCTACACTCATTGTTCTTATGAAATCCATTTAATTCTTCCTGTATTGATTTTGATGGACCCTTGCGCTTTCTCTGTGCCCACTAACTTTTGTAGTCTTCCGTGTGCACGTCTACATTTCGTAGTCTTTGAGCCATAACTTTTGACCGTTCAAATTCTCATTTCAGCAAAGGAGTGCATATTCGAGTCACTCAACCACGTTCTTCTCTTACTGGCCACAAGCATAATCTGAAAGCTAATAATATACTTCCTTACTATTTGGAGAAATGTGATTTAGCCCTTTCTTTTGATTAGCATTTACTTTGTTTAATAACAAAAATGATTACAAATCATTTCCAAATCGATACATTCACACATCTTCAATACCCAATATCACGTCATTCACATGAAGCCTCCAAAATTAAGATAACACGAGTTTTTGCCAACTATTTGATCTGAAATTTCCTTAGAATTTGTTTCTTTTTTAGCATTTGCTATTTTGTTGGAGTACTTTGACTAATATGCAGAAAATAGTCATAAGAACGTGTTTTATTTCATGATAACTAATATACAATATTGGCCACGACGATGAAACTCAAGAAAAATATTTGGCTTAGCAGCCGCTGTTATATTTTTCAACCATGTATGACTTTTGTAAACAATCTGGTAAGGTAACCGATGTCAAAAAAAAAATCTGGTAAGGTAACAAAAAAAACAAATTGAGAAGTCAAGAAGGGAGACTTGTAATAAAGAAACCTAGTTTAGTGGTTCTTTTAAAAACCTAGTTTAGTGGAACCCTACGTTTACGTCTAAAAGAATTTACCATTGTGAAATTTTAACGAAGTGAGAAAATGAAAACGACTCTAGTCAGTGAGGAATAAGCGTTTTGGTCTATAAATGAATTTTTAAAGACAAAATCTCATAATAAAGCTCCATGAACTATTTCATCTTGTTTCAATAAGCTCAATGAGCATCTCTATCTATGTTTTATAAATGTTATCAATTTTGTGGTGGCTTATATATATTTAAGTGAATAGAAAAAGATGCGCTGTGAATTGTGATGATATGATAGGTAGATCTACCCCATGGGATCTACCTCGTGGCTTTGGGGTCAAGCTATAGCTTGCGGTCAATCTCATGCAATCGACACGACAAAACCCACTTGGCCTACTCTCTTTATTTCATTTAGCTACCATCTTCATCATTATCCTTCACCGATCTACATAATGCACGTATACATATATCCTTTCACATCCACGTAAATGTATGCAAATATCTTTTTATATGCTATGAAAATATCTCTTGCAATCATGATCCACTTCTATGTGAATGCAAAGAACCTATGGCAAAGGTTGTGTGCCTTTGCTCTATCTGCTTCTTCACCATTCGAACTTTTTTTTTGAATGGGCTTTAGCTTCCTAATCCTGATAGCCCAACTCAGCACACTACATTAAAAAAACATGGTTTTTTTTTTTTTTTGAATGAATGTAAAATTTATTCAATCACACTGATTTACATCAAATGCATCTGTTTTCTAAATGAATAAAGAATCAACAAATTTTAAAATAAAAATAAACTCCTTTATTTCTTTACGGTTCTTGTCTTGTCTCAAACCAAGTGATCAAACCTTCTTCAAGATGTTTGTGTCCCTTTCCTTGAACTGATAGGAGCTTCAGTCTTACTGTTTTGTCTACAAACTTGATCATGCAGGCCGGCCACGCCTTTTGGTTCAATTCGATTACTATTAGTCATTTGATAAAATGAACAGCAGTTCTAAACAAGCCAGATATGTTGATATATGTATAGAGCAGAGCAGAGCAGAAGAAACTAGAAGTTGAATATCTGAATGTTACTTGCAGGGGCGAAGCTAGAGAATATATTGAATGGGTGCACTATTGGTAATAAACTTTGAAAATGTATAAAAAATATTTGAACTCAAGATCTTATGGGTGCATAGGCTGAGTTTTGCCATCTAATCCACCAAAATTTCAATATTTTTTGTTTTAAAATTGTGAATATCAATATAATCATGGGTGCACTTGCCACCACTCCGCATGAGGTGGCTTCTCCCCTGGTCACTTGTGTAGATATGCTTAACATTCACATTCTCAGTTAATGTGAATGTATAGGCACAAAACTATCTCATGCATATATCTTTACAGGAAGGAAGGTTTAAAGATATAATCCTAGTGTGTTGAGCAGAAAAATCAAACAATCGTTGAATAACTGAAATCCACTCTTCTCCTAGTTATGAAAAAAATAGTTACAGTTCAGTTTACAATTTAACAAAAAAAATATCAAAAGAAGCATCTCAATCTCTGTCTATAGCAAAATTAAGATCATATCAAATGCTTAGCCATAATCTTGTTTTGATTCTGCAACCATAACTGCTGTTCTTGCAACACAGATTGCTGATCTACCCCTCCATTTTCTGAAACAGTCTCTCCAAACCCAAAACTCTCAAATGTTGCAAATGGGTCACACTTCACCGGCTGAATCGCCGTAGCCTTGAATGTTGGCGTCGACGACGGCTCAAAATCTTCAGGAAAGTTCACCTGAAATGTCGGTTCCGGCTTAAACTCCGTCACAGCCAAGGCATCGAACGTTGTCATAAGTTCTCCAGCTAAAGGCTGAAAGTCTGACTCTGCAGCTAAAGGCGTAGCTGATTCTTCCAAGAATGGATTGTATTGGTCCGTAGTTGCTTGAATCGCAGGCATTGGATCATTTAATCCAAACGGTACAATCGCCATCGAGTTAGTATCTTGCACTTGTGTAGCTGTTTCTTCCAACGCAAGCAACCAGTTCCCTGACGGTACTATCGCCATAGGGTTAGTATTATCCTGTACTTGCGTAGCTGTTTCTTCCAACGCAAGCAACCAATTCCCTGAATCTCTCTGATCCTCAGAGGTTGCAATCTTCTCCATGTTCTTCCTCGGATCATCTCGCAACATCAAAGCCTCCCAAGGATCAAAACTCTCCACCTTTGTATCTTCTTGCTTCCTCTTCTCCTTCTCCTCCCCAGAAACTGAGGGTTTGTTCGGAAGAGACTTAGTCGAAACCGTATCGAAGTTATTCCCATTAAAATCATCTCTCCCTCCTCCGTAAGGCTCTGACTGACACGACATCGGAGGACTACTCGTCCCCGCATCAGTCCTACTCATCAAATCCTCCAAAGAAGTACTCCGAAACGACGACCCACCACAGTCCCAATACCTCTCCTCCGCATCAGGCGAACTCGAAACCGTCGACTGATGCGGAGGCGGGGATGGAAACACCCCCATCCCCGCCCCCACACTCCCCGGAAACGAAGACTGATCTTTCAAAAACTCCTGCAACGTCTCAAGAAGCTCTAAAGAGATCTTCTGAACGCTAGGGTACTCAGACGTGCGTCCCACGCCATTAGATTTACAAAGATCGTAGAATCCGTTAAGCTCCTCAAACTGCTTCGAAGCTCGAAGGCACGCTTGAAACGCGTGCATGCAAGATTGGTACTGTAGATGGAAGAAGCTATCAAGAAGAAGCGCTAAGCCGTCTGAGATGTCTTTATAAAGATCGAAACTCTCTTGCGCGACGATGTAGAGAGACATTTTCACGAGCTTGTTGTCTTTCGCGTCTCCCGTTGGCCGCGTCGCGATGGCTCTGTCTAGTAATCTCTGCCAGTACGTGATTTTATCGATGAGCATAACCGGTTTCATATCTCTAACCGCCGGTTCGTTAGATTTAGTATTAAACCGGGATTTTGAATTGGTTTGGGAATCCCGGTTAGTGTAACGTCTTTGTAACTTCCCGGTTAAGAAACAATCGAGACGTTCGTCGAGGTATAGCGCGAAGGTACGCACGTAAGCTGTGTAATCCCAAGGACACGAGTTCGAGTCGTCGCGGAAGGTGGAGAGGTTTAAAATTTTCGCGCCGCGTTTCATCGCGTGGAGGACTTCGCGAGGGAAGTAAGGATCACCGTCTTGGAAGATTCTGAGGACGAGGACTAAGGACTTGAGCGCGACGATCCAGTTCTTCGTGCGGCCGATGCGGCGACCAATCGCGGCGGCGCAGGCCGCGGCGTGTGATTTCTTGGAGGAGATGATTGAGAGGATGTCTGAGACGAGACGGTCGTAGATTGGGACGTCTTCGTCGTGGCTTGTGGCTTTGAGGATGGCGACTTCGAGGGTTGTGAGGTCGCCGCCTCCGTTGGCTCCCGTGGCGACTTTGGCGAGGCTGATGCTCGTGTGGTCTTTAACCGCTCCAATCGCTTTTTTCAGCTTGCTAGGCATTGTTGTGAACGGTCGCGTTTCTTTATTTTTTTTCTTGTCCTTTTCGTTTTTTTGTTTTGTTTTGTTTGTTTCTCTCTCTAAGGGGAAAGAGTTGCGAAATTTTTTGTTGTGACTTCTAAATATAAAAGAGTGGAAGACAGAATTAAATGGCTGGAGACTCGGGAGATCCTTTTAAGACATGACAAAGGTATACGTTGACTAGATAACAGAGATTTATAGTATTCACGTACGCGCACTTTTTGGCGCGTAGAATATGAGTAAGCATAACAATGTTGTTGTTTGAACTTAGAAGCTTGCGTAGCACGCTTTCAAACTTTGAAAACATAAGATTATGGATCTTATGGTTAAAAGTTGATGCATTACAATTGCTTTGCAGGTAATGTAGATGTGTTACAAGTTTTTTTTTTGACAAGTGAGATTAATTTCTACGCGCACCTTATAGGTTAATTCCAATGACAAGCTGTGTTAGATTCTTTATAAACAACCAAAGGAGTGGCTAGCATCTTTAAAATTCAATATCTTAGGCTACAAGATATCTTTATTTTTTAATGTGATTATCTTTGTTTTTTTCTTTTTCTTGTAGACGTGCAAACCATTAAGATATAAAATAGCTGGTTTCTCTTAAGCTTGTGAGACAATTCATGAACATAGACTTCACGATTTTTTCAACATCTGAAGAGTTCATGCATCAATTTGTTTCCATATCATGATCCGAGAAGGTGAAGTCAATTTCAGTGGGGGGTAGACTCAATTACAGCTCGGGCTAGTCCCTGAGGAGATTGAGAAGGATTTTAAGGAACGATATGTGATTAAGACAATGAGGAAAGTGGCATTAGTAGAGACAGTTCACCTTTTGGTCAGACTCATGATTCACAGGATCAGCCATAGGTGCCAAATCTTCTCCATGTGATATATCAACATGAGTTGCAAGTCTAATAGGCTCACTATCATCATTCAAACTGTACAAGAAAAAAACATAGATTTTAGTGACCATATAAGAGATCAACGTTTTGGAGGTTTCAGCTGCTTCCATGCTTTGATCTTCAGACAGATGAGTCTATCCACCTTGAGGGAGATCGTGATCGAGATCGCTTCAACGGCTGCTTTTTGACAGGAGGAAGCTGACCTTGGAGGAAACTAGAGACTGCGTTATCGAGATCCCAGTTGAATCCTTCGAGGAAGAAGAGTGCTGATTCTCTAGACTCAGACGTTGCATTGCAGAAGCCAATTATTGGATCATCTTCTCCTGGAGAATACTTTGTCTTCATGGTTAGAGACTTCTCAGAAAATAGTACTTTTGTAATATTTTGCAATAATATATAAGATAATTTCAGTTTGCTCTTCAACATTTTTTAACAAAACAGAGATTTTTTAGGGTAGCTCCGAATATTTCTGCCAAGAATTCAAGATAAAATAGTTCTTTCAGATAATATAACTCGGCCACTTTGTTATGAATCATTTTATCTTTAATCCATTAAAAGTATTCTCATCTTTAAATACAGACTTATCTTGCCTAACAGAATTTGTACCATGTGGTATTTGCTAGTGGGTTTTCATAGATTCGAATTTATTATTGGCTTACAACTTAAAATCAATTGGTAATTAGTATATTGGTCCTAACTCTTTATATATTATTTAATGTCCCACAAAATTCCCGATGTAGAATATATATCCCTAATACCCTTCCTCGAGATAATGACTCTTATCGGCCAGAAATCTCGGAACTTTTAAGACAATTATACTCGGTCGAGTGAGTCAAGTACTACAGTTATACCTAGTCGGAAGGTTAAATACAACCTATATATCCGGTCGGAATGGTTAATCAATTAATTAGGAGTTTATGATTTTTTTCTTTTTTTAGGATCTGGGCTTTGATACCATGTTAGATTCATGTTTATTATGGACTTCCAATTTAAAACCAATTGGTAATTAGTGTATTGGTCTTAATCCTTTATATATTAGAGGTGTAGCCCCGCACAAGCGCGGAGATGTTGATTGTAATTTGTGGTTGTAATGTAATGCTATAGTTAGGATAGGAAAGATAGAGTGAAGGATAGAGCCGTAGGGTATTGGAGACAATGGAGAGTAAGGTTTAAGAGGTTTTAGAGTACTCGAGAGTCTCCATGAAGGTAGATAGATATCCCTAATAACTTTGTTGTATGACATTTTAATATACAACAAGAAGGAGAGCTTGGATAACTCTAGTGGAGTTGTCCCCGAAAGTTGGTTTCGAGATGGAATATGACTGGTGAAACCGTTGTTGGATAAGTTGAGCGTAATCAGCGATTTTAAAAGACCAATCGTTTCTGGAATCTGTCCTTCAAATTTGTTTCCAGAGAAATCAACGGCTGCATAAACGTTTAGGATCCTAATCAGCTCCGTGTTTAATCCTTTGTTATTCATTGACATGGAAGGATAAATACCAGGTGAGTAAGAATCTCCGATGTATTTCACTCGCCGTACGTCCATCATATTCAAACCTACGACTGATGGCTGCACTCCAATTCACAAAGTAACTTGGTGGAAGGCTCCCGTCAAACATGTTACTCGATATGTCAATGATCATCAGTTTCAAAAACATCAGGGGATACTGAGGAGAAGATATAGCTTCACGGGTCCAAGAGTCTGTCACTGAATTGTTGCATGACAGAAGAAACTCATTTTTGAAAGCAAGAAGGCTCTCAACTTGGTCAAGGCGACGATAAGGTGAGAAACAAGAGTAGTAACCAAGAAGTTCAAAGCAAAGACACAACCAAAGAAACAAGAGGGCAGATGCAACTATTAGAATGTCCCACATCGAGAATAATATATTTTCTTGGGTAATATATAAATGTATGGACAATCCTTCGTTCTTAAACTAGCTTTTGAATCTAAATTAGATTCATTACTCATATGATATCAGAGTCAATAGTAAACTTCCGATATGTTGGCTTTGGTCTGTTTTTGAGTGTGAATTAGATTCATTACTTATAACAAAGTATCCTGGAAAAAAAAAAATATGAGATGTGCAAATTAGAGAAGAGATGGATATATGGATGGGCTTTGCTGCCATGTAATTTGTAGCCATGGTTTTAGATCTTTTGATATAGCTTGACTTGGAACTTGTGGAAGTCTTTCGTTATGTATCAATCACTCTTTTGCAGTTTTATTTCACATAGATCGGGGCCCTATTATGCTGGAAACGTCTTCTTCGGTTTAATTGGAAAAGTCATGTTTCTCAAATCATAAAATTCAACTCTTCATAAAAAGTAAAATATAATTATATGACTAAATAATATTGTTTATTTTTTTTGTAGATTTATATATGAATATATCCATATTAGACCAGTGTGATATCAAGGGGGTCATCTTAGTGACGATATATTAAAAGGGAAACATATTTACTTTTGACTTAAGCTAATATTAAACCAATCAGCTGATTAGGCTTTAAAGATTTTGAAGACTTTCAAATGAAAAAAAAGTCTCTAAAGCCAAAACATTTACCAATCACGTTTTTACTTTTCTAAAATTTCTTAAAGTTCTCAAAGTCACTTAAAGTTAACTTCCTATTTTTTCTCTATACTGACTACTTTGAGTTGCACTTACTGTCACCAATCACACTCTATATGTGTATTTATATAAATTATGGGTGAAAATGCTAACGAGGGATATTTTACATATAATTCAACAAACCAAAGAAACAACATGTTTATTTTCAAAGACGGAATAATTTCAAGAACAAGACAGGTTTATATGTAGCAATAACTTGTCCGACTGCTATTCCGAACACTACTCCAGGGCCATAACCTATTGCTGCTGCTTTCCAGTTGAACACTTGTTCTTGCTTCGGCGACTTTGACTGTGGTGCTGGTGGTACGTTTTCTCCAAAGCTTCTTATTTTTAGAGGAAGACCCCAAAGATCGACATTCCCTTTGAATGAAGAACCATTCTGCCCTACAATCTGTGTACTCTGTGGTATTGGGCCGGTGAGTTTGTTGTATGACATGTTAATATACTCCAAAAAAGTGAGGCTTGCTAGCTCTTGTGGAATTTTTCCAGAGAGTTGGTTCCGAGATAGGTCCAGTGACTCAAGATTGGTGAGGTTCCCCAAAGATGATGGAATATAACCCTTGAATCTGTTGTTTGACAAGTCTAACACAATAAGCGACTTCAAGAGACCTACTGATTCAGGAATCTGTCCTTCAAATCTGTTCCTAGAGAAATCAATGGCTCCGAAAATCCTCAGGATTTTATCCAACTTTAGGTGTAGTCCTTTGTTACTGACATACAAAGAAGGTTGGAACCCAAGCGAGTAAGAATCTCCCATGTACTGTGGTCGCCGTTGATGATCTTCAGGGACGTTGACCAATGATGCATTCCAGTTCAGAAAGTAATTTTGTGGCAGACTTCCGGTAAAATTGTTACGCGATATATCAATTATACGCATCTTAGGAAACGATAGATTACTTGGAGGATAAGTAATATGACCAAATAATCCGTTTGATCGTAAGATAACGACTTGCAGGTTCGGTAGAGACTTCAGCCAGAACGGGAAAGTGTCTGCGATTCTATTGCTCTCGACATTTAGAATCTCTAGGCTTGTGCAGTTCACAAGAGACCTTGGAAGCTTCCCAGTGATTTGATTGTGGCCAACATCAAGTGTCTTCAACGAGTTGCTTCTGTAGAACATGTCGGAAAGTCTTCTAAGTTTGTTGTCACGAAGGTTCAACACTGTTAGTGATTCACTCAAGCAACTTGGAATTGAACCACTGAAATTGTTGTTTGATAAATCGAGGACGGACAGGTTCTTTGGATTGCACAGTGAAAGAGGTATCTCTCCTGTGAAATTATTATTTGGTGCGACCATGTACTTCATGGTTTCTGGAATTGTAGGAAAAGGTCCGTGAAAGGCGTTTGAAGTTAGATATAAGTAGACAAGTGATGAGTTAAGAAACACTTCTTCTTGAGAACCTTGGAAACTATCAAAGGAGTTGTGAGAGAGACTCAACGCGGTTAGAGAAGGTAGGTTCCATAACCACTTAGGCGCTTTCCCTTCGAGTCTATTATTAGAAAGGTCTAAGGAAGAAAGCTTGGTAAGATTGTATAAAAGAGGAATACTACTATTGAGGTCGTTAGACGAAAGGTCTAGGTAAGTTAGGCGGCTTAGGTTGCTGATTGAGGATGGAACTTCTCCGACTAAGCCATTATTAGAAAGATCCAAGGACTCTAAGTTGGTGAGTCTGCCAAGTTCGGCGAGGAATGAGGGCGAGTTAATGTTGTTGTAAGAGAGATCGAGATACCTGAGGTGGTGGAATTTGAAGAGGCTACTATTACCTCCGAGAGTGTCTTTGAGACATCCACCACGTAGGTCTAGTTTAGTCACAACACCCGTCTCGCCAAACACAACACCATCAAAAGAGATAGCGTCTCTGATCCAAGAGCTGGCCACTGAATTGTTGCACATCTTAAACTCATCTTTGAAAGCCAGGAGGGTCTCAATTTGGTCGGGACGACGGTAAGGTTGAGAAACAATAGTTGTAACCAAGAAGCTTAAAGCGAAGAAATAACAAATGATGGAAAAAACTGGGAAACGTAGTGTCATCATCGGAGAAAAAAAAGGAAGAGACTGAAGACGAATGACTTGATATGAGTGGTGCTTCCTAATTTTATAAAGCCATAGCAAGAGGCAACAGGCAAATCTCCAGCTTGACTTGGAAACTGCGAGTCTTCCCACATAATTTATCAAGGCCCACTAAAGTTATTACCATATTGGAATGGTCTATTTTCTCATTTTCCAGGCAGTGAATATTACGTTCACTTGCATGTATGTGAACAGAGAATATTACGTCCATTCTCGAACCGAGTCACGACATTAATTTAGCGGAATGATTTTCTAAAGCGAAATTAATTTTCTAGAAATGCTTAACGTCTAAAACGAACAAGTAAAATAGTTATATAACTGCTTAAATTTTGTTTCTCTTTTTGTAATGCAAGAATGATTATTTTGTCTTACAAATAAAATTCATAAAATAATGTTTTATAAGAAATATATGAATGGTCTTTATGAAATTTGTTTTTTGTTCACATGTCCATGCATATTAACATCTAACATCCTGAGGAATGAAAAATATGTTGTATGCATGCGGTTTAATTATTCTAAGATAATTGTGACGGTTATAATTTTGTTGGTGAAAAGTCACAGTTGTTTTTCTTCTGATAAATCCGATCGACTGATCCGGTCAGTCCCAACAAAAGCATACTTAGTATTACAGAGTAGACTAGTCCGAAAGTTTACCACACTGCCTAAGTAAGTTTAAAATACATTCCGGCTAATACCAAATGGTGGACCGATTATCTATTACAACCCACT